GGGGGGCTGGGCTCACCATTTGTGATATCCTGGATATGTTGTTGTTGCTGCTGCATATGAAGCTGATCAGGGCCTCCCACGCATCCTGGCTCAGCATGCGGACACCTCCAAACTTGGGTGCCCTCTTGCGGAAATTGGCGTCCGCTTCTGACCACTGCTCATACAAGCTCGTCAGGTCCAGCTTCAAGCTGAGATAGTGCTTGAGCAGCTCCTCCGTGTCGTCCTCTGGAGACTCCGTCTTCACGGTTGGTGCGGTTTGGGGTCGCTGGGCTGCGGCGGGCCAGATTGAGCGGTAGTGAAGGTGAGTCGGGTCTTGCTTCAGTGAGATGATTCGGCCATGCAGCGTGCAGCACCTGGTGATGTGTCAGTGTGGATGAAATTTCCAAAGTGTTTGTGCTCATCGTACCATTCGTCATTGATCTTCCGCCATCGAAAGGATTGGCCGCAGCGCAGTGTTGTATCGATACAAAGCTCTGTGAGGCTCAGTGGCAACTTGCGCCACTCGGTGACCCTGACGGGGGCCATGCTGTCCTGTGTCGAAACGGTGACGTCCAGTATATCGAAATTTCCAACTCGGTTAATCCCTAAAACGGCTCAGGCTCGACTGCTGCTGGGCGCTAATGTCAACCACTTTACACTTATACCTTCAATGTCGGTGGGGGGGGGGGGGGGGATCTGAACGTGGCGGCGTTGAGGTCCTGAAAGACGGCGATCAGATACTACGACAATCATGACTAAGCACACGGCCATCGCCACCTCCATCTCAGATTGGCGTTCAGGGTTCGCGATCACAGAAATCCAACGAATATGCCTAGGAACGATGGACGCTGTGTATATAACTTTCTTATTTGCGACTTCATACGTGTCGCGAACCTTTGCAGGTTCATGCTACTCTGCCGGCCTCGTCTAATCCCGACCAACACCCTTCCCCACCCCCTCCAGAAATTCTGACATGAGAAAATGGTATCACAAAAGGGAGCGCACATCGAAACCCTTAGTTCTTATGCTCTTCGTCCCTAGCCTCAGTACGACTTTTTCTTCGACTTGCTGCTAGCCTTGACAGGTAGCTGTCCGCTTTGCGCGAAAAGCTGCCACATGCACCACAGATAGCACAGACCAAAGCCGACGCAGCCGACGCCAACGTTGGCGACAGTCCAAAGGTCAGGCTTGTCGATTGGGGGGCGCACCGTCGCCTCGACGACGTGCCAGGCCGCCATGGCGATGTAGAAGACGCCATGCACCAGAGCTGTTCCCCACTGGACCCAGGCTGACTGACCCTCTTGGAAGTATGCGCTCAGCGATGTCGGCGGGAGACCCAGCAGGTAGGCCCAGAGCAGGGTCAGGACGGCGTACGGAACGCGTAGATCGACGCGCTGGAGAAGAGGGAACATGGTCCAGGCACCCAAAATGTTGGCAAAGCCGACCCAAGCGCGCGTGTCCCTCGAGAGACCCTGCTTGCCGGCGAGGAGGAGAGTCATGGGCATGAGCGGTAGAAGAACGCTCTTCTCGTGGACCTGGAAGCTGAAAAGGAAGAAGCCCCATGCCGTCGCCGCGAAGCCGAGGGGCAAAAGGTGCTTGCGAGGGCGGAAGAAGAGGACAAGGTTTGCTGGGATGATTGATGCCAGCGTCAACGCGAGCGCGGCCCTTTGCTGCAGTTCGGGGGCGAAGTTGCGCAGCTTGACCACGACGTTGAGGGCGCACCAGAAGTTGGCAACCTTGTCCTCGAAGAGTCCGCGCGCAAAGGGGAAGATGCGGTGCACCATCTGCAGGAGCTGCTCGACGAGAGGGTAGTAGAAGGCGTCGGTGTCGAGCTTTTCGGCGAGCTGGGGAAACAGGGGCAGCGGGGGAGGCGGGCCATCAATGTTCGGACGCGAGTCGATGCCTCTGCGCACGTCGTAGAGGGTGCCCAGGACGAGGGGAAGGATGAGTATGGCGAAAGAAACGACGGTGACCAGGGCGATGCCGAACAGGCGACCGACGTTGGCCTTGGGGAAGACGCAGCTTCCCAGGAGATAGGAGAAGACGGAAAAGGCATAGTAGAGGGCCATTTGCTTGAAGCCAAGGGCTGCGACGAAGAAGACGGCGGACCACATGTAGCGGCCGGCCAACATGCTGGACATGCTTGCGAGGACGAAACCCAGCATGACCGTATTGTACTGGAAATGCACGTGGTCGATGAGTATCGTCGACGGCTGCATCAGGAAGGCGACCAGCGCAAGCGAGGCAGACCAGTTGGAGACGCCGTTGAACCTGCTGAACCTCCTCACAAAGACAACGGCGGCGGGAATGTAGACGAGGTACTCGGACACAATGACCGTGGCGCGCATGAATATCTTCAGAGCGGGGTCGTCAGAACCCCTCGAGACGTAGAGAGTGAACCAGACGGGGTTGATCAGAGACCCGATCTGGCCGCAGACCCAGCTGTGGTATGCCGTCAGGGGCGGGTAGTCCAACCCCCAGTGTTGCAGATCATGGAAGTACCACTGCGAGACGGGGACCTGCGTCGTGACTTCCATCCAGTTCCTTTGCGCTTCGTAGTCGCCGAACAGAGGGCCTCTGTGGTAGCCTGTACAGTTGCTGGTCAGCGATGGCTGCCCTCGTTTGGGAGGGGGAGGGAGAGGATCCGCGTCGGGGCGTGAAGGCGACGAGCAGGCCAGCTTACCAGAGTAGCCCCAAAGACCAGCAGCCCACCTGAAGAGGCCGACAACCATGAGAACCAGAGGCAGGACCTCCCATTCGGAAGCGGAGCCACGCGCGGCCCACATGAACGAGGCCAGCGGGAACAGCGGCGCTTTGGCGACAGCATCGCCCTTGGTGGACGACGTGACGTTGACGATGGTCGTCTGGGACGAAGTAGGCGACGGCTTCTTAGGCCCCCTGCGGCGAGCCTTGTGCGGCAAAGAGCCAGTCATTGTCGCCGAGAGGAGGGAGGTAAAGACTGATTCGAGCTGGCATGAGGCGAGGGTGTCAGTCGCGTGCCTGTCGGTGAAACAAGCCCGGCGGATTGGCGGTGATGGTCTGTTCTGTTCTGCTGTTCTATTGTCCCGTGGGGAAGCCACGGCACCAGAGTTGACGACAACGTACTGGTCGTGGTCGGGTCCTCTGTGCCCAGCTCCCGGCCGTAGGTGCCCTTGGCGCCCAATTGGATCGCCATTCGTGGTCGGCTTAGTGCACAGAGCCCCTGGAGCTCCCCACTGTACAGCCGAACGTGAAGGGCGGGCCGGAAATTTGGGGGCACCGGTTGCTTATCGGAGCTTTTTCTTATCGTTCAGCATCTGGACCTCGTGTTGTTGCTCGTGTTCGTGAGGCCTACAGACCAGGCCATGGGGCATCAAACACGTCGCATGGCAAGTTCTTCCAGAGACGACTCGGAGTCTTCGACTCAATGGGAGATGGCCAGAGCGGTCCCCTATTTTATTTATCTTCGATCAAGCAAAACGTGAACCATCAGCAACCTCCGCGTCATGGGCCCGTCTCCAGAGCCTGGGTCTACAGTATGCAAGACAGTCCCTCTCAAGGCGCAGGCACGGTCCGACATCATTGCTCTTGGCGCTGAATCTGAGTCGTTCGAGGCGTTGAGATGAGCCGCGTTGGCGCTGGGGGAGCACAGAGCGGCATCAACATCTCACGACCACGCCATCAAATCCCACCTACGCGTGCCACCAGCTTCCTGGAGACGCTGCGTTCTTCAGGTTCTTCAGGTTCTTCGGTTCTTCGGTTCTTCGACAGCATGCCGTTCCCCTTTGTTCTGCCCACGACCTCCTCCTTCTCCTTCTCCACCAGCTTCAGCTGTGAATCACACCCCTCGCTGCCCCTCACTGCGAGCACCTACCGCGGGGTCGTCCGCGATGCCCTCAAGAAACACAAGAGACTGCCGCCATCCGCCCAGTCTCCCCACATATCCTCGCTCATCACCGCCCTGAACGCCTACCTGCCCTATCTATTTGCCATCGACGCAGGCCTCACACGAAAGGGCCCCCATGCTGCTGAGATCACCGTCAGCCAAACCGCTCCCCTCGCCATAGAATGGCGCCCGACTCTTTCTGACAGTCACGTCCCCGGACGCGAACCGCCCCGTGTCAAGGTCCAATCCCTTGACCACGAGGTCGCCTTTGTTCTCGCCACCCTCGCCCACGCCTACACCCTCGCCGGCCGCATCGCCTTGCAGCCACTCTACGTGACCTCGGTGGCAGCGCCCTCGGCCCAGGAACGGACCGTCGCCATCCAGACTGCCACAAAACACCTCCTAGAAGCAGCCTCGCTCTACGACCACGTCGCAACGCGCGCGGAAGGCTCCTCGAGCCCGGCCCCGAGCGTCGACATCTCGCCCCCCGTCCTCCGCGGCCTCGCCTCCCAGGCGCACGCCGAGGCCACCCTCCTCGCCGTCCTCAAGGACGACCCCTACCCCGCTGTCGTCTCGCAAACACGCAACGAGGCCGACAAGGAGTGGATGTACCGCACGCCCTCCCTGCCCAAGGTCCGCGCCCACCTCTTCGCCCGCCTCTCCCTCGCCGCCGCCGAGCACGCCTCCCAGGCCGCCACCCTTTGCGGCACCCGCCTCTCCGGCGCCCCGCCCCTGAACCCCGCCCTCCTCCGCTACCTCGACGACACCCGCCGCACCTCCCGTGCCCGCGCTTGCCGCTTCTTCGCCATTGACGCCGAGATTGCCGGTGAGACCGGCACCGCCCTCGCCTGGCTCCGCGCCGCCCTCCAGGAGCTCGGCGTCGAGTCCCGCACCGACGCCGCTGCCACCGCGGCGAAAAAGTCCTCCCTCGGCGCCGGCTTCTCCCGTCTGCGCAAGGACTGGGCCGAGAAGCGCGAGGACAAAAAGGTCGAGCGCGAGACCGCCTGGGGTGCCGACGGCGGCAAGATGGAAGAGACGCGCGTCATCGAGCACCTCGAGGTCAAGTGGACCAAGATCAACGACCTTGTGAGTTTTTTTTTTCTTACTTTTTTTTGCCAGATGCTTCCCCCCCCCCCTTCTGTCCCGCGTGGTCTTGCGAAACCCCAAGGACTTCGCAACACCAGAGTCAGTCAGCCAACCATCAAGACAGGTCACGACCCAAGCGATCCCCACGACCGGCTCAGTCCTCGCTCAGATGCCCTCCGGCCGCGAGATCCACACCATCAAGCCATTCCAGCCCGCGGAGCTCGATCGGAGCGTCCTCGAGGCCACGCGCGCGCCGCCCGACCGCAGCGATGACTTTGGCGAAGCCCTGAGCTCCGACGACGAGGCCAAGGGCCAGCAACATACTGAGCCACCTGGCGCGTATCCCGGCGCCAGGCAGGACCATCATGGTGGGAGCAGCTACTACTGAGGGGGGCAGGACTCTGACGACAGGGGCGACGGGGCTGGTCACGATCCGGTAGGCGACAGCCGGACATGCTAGCGCACATCGACTCGGCCACATCGTAATCTGATAATCGCTTCGTTCCCAGTTGCAGTTTGTTACATCTCTCTTGTGATCAAATCGCCTGCCAGCGAGTTGCAAAGTCTCATATGCTAAAAACGTACATGGGTATAA